CCCCGCCACCCCCTCCCCCAGGCCCCGCGCTTCCGCCTACTTGGCGATGGGCGCCGTGGGCAGAGGGAGCGGCAGTGTCCTCGCACTCCCGGCCCTGGGGGGGCGGGACTGCGCGTCTAGCCCCCTCCCCGCACACACTCCACCCAGCCTGGCTTCCCGGTGCTCCCAGGTCTCCCCAGCCCCAGGGCAGCGCACAGAACCCACCCTTCTCCAGCGGTGGCTGCCCACCGCTTCGCCCCGGATCTCAGGGCTTCCAGACTGGGGACCGTCCCCGCACCCCAAGCCACCGCCCGCCTTCCCGCCCGGCTCAGGGGATCGCAGGGGACAGTCTACACAGACCCAACCCCTCTCTCCTCCCGGGATTGGGAGCAGTGCTCCGGGATTGCCTAGACGCGTCGCCGCGTCCGGGATCTCACCTTATCCAGACAGTTCACCTTCTCGGTGGGGTATACGATCTTGCCGCACCGGGCGCAGTTGGGGTTCATGGCTCCAGGGAAAGACTGGGGCGGAGACCCCCGAGTTCGTGCACGTTCTCTTCTCCTCGGACAAGCCGGCGGGAGGCGGCCGCGGCTTCAACGGTACAGGCAGCAGCGAAGGCGACTGGAACTGGGGAACTGGCCTCCGCCTCCGCCCTCCTTCCCCTAATAAACACAGCGGGGAGGAGGGGCTGCACCGGGGCGGGGACGCGCCTCGGGCACGGGAAGGGGCGCGCGCGGCCAGGCGCGCTCCCCAGGCGACGTGGGGCTGCGCGGGGGCGGGTTCCGGGGAGGGCTGCGGAGACCAGTGCTGGCGCCCCAAGTTCCCGGTGCACCGCAGCCCGGGGTCACGGCCCTTCCCGCGCTGGAGACGACGCCGAGCGCGGCTGGCCGCCGGCTCGCCGATGGGAGGGCCTACCCCACGCACCCGTGGAGGGTGGGGCTGGTGTCCTACTAACCGGAGCAGGTTCTCCAGACTTTCCTTCTCCCGGTCGATACCCGGCGTGAACCTGCGGGGACACCCCCCCCCCGCCCCGACCCCCAGCTCCCTTCTCGCCCACATCCTCTCCCACTTCTATACCTGCGCCTCTGCCTTGGGATCCGCGCTTCCAGGCGGCGCTAGTTCTCCCTCCGGATCCTCGCGGCGCACAGCTTTCGCCGGTGCTCGTCGGATCCCGGATCTGCTCTCAGCTTGGCCCCCTTTCCTCCGCCTGCATTCCTTTCTCCAACCCTACACATTCACGTAGTAGCTGCAACAATGTCTAGATACTCAGAAGAATTTACTCCCAGTCTTTTAACAGCACGGGGGTATAGCTCAGTGGTAGAGCATTTGACTGCAGATCAAGAGGTCCCTGGTTCAAATCCGGGTGCCCCCTCGGAGCCTTTTCCTCTCCCGTAATCAAATGATACACTTTTCACTTAACTCTTAACCTTAGTTGGATCCTAGGTTAAAACAAAAAAGACCTCTCGTCATTTTCCAGCCTTAGCAGAAAGCCTTCATTTTTGCTTTGTACCCAGCAGAAAGAAGGCCAGGTGCAAAAGATTGCACGTCCTCATTTGACTGGCGCCAGGGACGTGGAGGTTTCGGCCCGCGCTAGCCCTGTGTTTATTGATTGGATGGTTCCAGGTGTCGGGTTCGAGAGTCAGGATGACTTCCCCAGGCTGGCGTTCTGTTTCTGGTGGGGTTAGGGTGGGTCAAAAGGGAAACCCACGGACATACCCTGTGTCCATCTTTTTTCCTTTTTTCTCTCTGCTTTATTACCAGTGGCATGGACTTGCTGTTCTCTCGCCTCCCTGCTGCTTGTGACATAGGCAGAGTGAAAGCGCTTTGAGAACACCTCACTTCGATTCACAAGAATAATATCTATGTCCCAGTGAGAAGTAATATAAATTAATGCTATGGTTTTCAAACTTGAGCATGGCCCAGAATGACCTTGTGAAAACATCCCCCGTTTTTTTATTCTATAGGCCTGGAGGGAGGCCTTGACAATTTGCTTTTTGGCCGATTGTCCAGGTACTGCAGGTAGGGAACCAAAGACTTCTCTTTGAGAATCACTGGAGTGTTACTACAAGACCATTCATTGGGTTTCAAATCCTAAAAATGGGGACAGATATTTGCCGGGTGTGTTACTGATGGTATCACTGTGGGACTGGAGGAAGCCCTAAGAGTGAATAGAGAAGCGGGGGCGTCCCCCTCAGCTAGGTTTTGCCCAAAAAAAGGAAAAAGAGACAGGGAGAGGCCTGCTGCCTGGGTCAGGGTGCGGCTGTGATATTTTAATCATGGAATCTGATTGTCATCCCTGGGGAGCCCAGTGGAATACTCTCATGCATTTTTTTTTTTTTTTTCCTCCCAGTTCCCATCACTATTCCTCTGGGCAGAACAGGGAGAGCAGTAGTGCAAAGTCTGGAAAGAACTACCCGGTGCTTCTTGCTTTCCTGGAAGCCAGGTCTTGAACTTCAGGCTCCTTTATTTTACAGACCAAAGCCTTGACTTTGAGAAGTTACTTCAATTCATAGAGATTTGCCAGCCTCTGCCTCCGAAGTCCTGGGAGTCTTTATTTATTATTTATTTGTTTACTTATTTATTTTAGTATAGGAGCTCATGTAGTCCAGCCTGGCCTTGATCTTGCTCTACAGCCAAGGCTAACCCTGTACTCCTTTGAACTCCTGATCCCTCCTGCCTCAGCCTCCCTAGTGCTGGGATTAACAGGCATGTACCACCACCTTAAAATAGGCAAATATAAAAATTTCCTATATCTGAGTTCATCCTTTGTTGTCTGGGTAATGATAACTGTATAAGTGGGCCACATGGCTTGATGTAGGGTCCAAACCTACACATTTCACCTCTGGGATGCTGCTAATTCTAGAGTATTAAGAACATTCAGGATGGGAAAATTTTGCCCATGGAAGAAGTTTGGAATTCAGAAATAACTGACAGATGGCATTACACCTCTCTATCTGTGAAAAACATAAACACCAGCTAAGGGGGCACCCGGATTTGAACCGGGGACCTCTTGATCTGCAGTCAAATGCTCTACCACTGAGCTATACCCCCTTTGCTGGCAAAGCTGTGGTAAATTCTTTCCACATGGATTGTCCTTATTGTTCTGAAAAGTGTTTATTCAAAATTAGAATTTTTTTACTAAATGATACTATATTCACCAATAAGGAAGCACAACTCTAAAAAACAACTGAAAACACACTGACAGTTTGAAAATGTGAATTTAGGTAACAAACTACCTTTTTTGGGGGGGGTCTTTTTGAGACACGGTCTCCCTGTAGCCCCAGCTGGCCTGAAACTCACTATGTAGACCAGGCTGGCCTTGAACTCACAGAGATCCGCCTACCTCTGCTTCCTAAATGCTGGGATTAAAGACGTGCACCACCATGCCCTGCCAAGCTACCTTTTTTAGACTCAATAGTTTATTTGCAACCCCATTCATTTACCTTCCTCTTACAAAACTGTTTGGAGGACTTTTCCCCTGTTTTCTCCAGAATACAAAGACCACCTCAAGCAGCAGAGAGACCCCCCCCAGCTTATATATAGACTGTTGGTCCCCCTCTTTGATTTTTATGCAGCACTCACTGTATTATATATCCCTCTCAGAGAACAGGACAAACTTACAATCAAAAGATACAAAGAGTTTACAGTGTGCTAGAGACAGGCTAGAAATAGAGGCACGAATGAGCAAGGAAATATTTAGTAGTGATGAGAATGCTTTTTTTTTAAAGCAGCTAGTGTCACCCCTTGTCAAAGACGCTCCTTTTTGTAACAGATGGATACTGTTACAGAGTTCAGAACTGGTCAAGTGCAGGGAATAAGTGTCTGTAAGAAGTTTAGCCCTAAGTAACACATCTTCAATACACCCTCCACACATACCATAAATGTATCTCTCAACTCTCACCAGAGAAGTTTCCTTATGCCACAAGATGGTGATTAACATAGAAACCCACAATTGGCCCATGCTCAGAGAACCAGAAACTACAGAGTGCTTATCACTGAATAAGATACCTATTTCAAAGCTCTGCCTCCCAAGGCTCAGGGATAGAAACAGAAAGATTGTAAGAACCAGAAGGGCTCTTTCAATGATCATAAGGAAACAGAGTTTTCCAGACAGTTGTTCATTTACTCATATGAACTCACAGCAATTACGACAGCATACACAAATCCAATGAAAGCTCAAACCAGACAAAATCCCAGCCCAACCTAAGGAACTTTTGGCAATTGATGACTGTGGGAGGGAGAGAGATAATGTCTTACAGGGATGGAACCCTTGGTGGGCCCAATGGATGGACCCACACTGAAGGATATTTGGGAACACGAATCAGAATCTACTGGCTGTATTATATATATGAGAGTACATTAAATTGGGCGGAGAGCAGTGAGGGAGGTACGGATAGGGGAGGGGATTTAAATATCATCACACTATAGTGTATGAAAATTGTAAAAATTCAATAAAAATAAAATTAAAGTTTAAATAATAAAAAGCAGCTAGTGGTGGTAACTATAATATTAGCATTTAATGGGATTAGAGAGATAACTCAGCAACTAAGAGCACTGACTGCAGTTGCAGAGGACCTGAGTTTGATTCTCAGCACCCACATGGCGGCTGCCATTCCTAATTCCAGTTCCAGGGGAATCTGACATCTGCTTCTGACCTCCTCAGGCATTGCACGGCACAGGTGCACTTACATACATGCAGGCAATACTCATACACAGAGAATAGAGATAATATATATATATTAGCATTTAGGAGGGCTGAGGCAGGATTGAGAATTCAAGCCCAGCCTGGGCTATATGGCAAAATCCTACCAATAATAAGTAAATGAATATTTTATTGAAAAAGAGTTATTTAGGACTTTATTTTTCTTTTCCTTTCCTTGGGGTTCTGGGAATCAAACCCAGGGTCTTGGTCATGTGAGACAAGCACCTTATCATTGAAATGATGGGTCTATAGCTGCATGGAAGGCTAGGCAGGTGACTGGGCAGTTAAGACCTGAGTGACATTTAGAAGGCAACCTGTTGGCCATCTGTGTGGGGGTGGGCATTCCAGGCAAAGGAAAGGGGTAGTGGGTAGTCCCTAAAGCTGGTGGCAGTTGGGCCAGGGAAGAACAATTCAAAAGTCCTGAAGTAGCCAGGACTGTGGAGGATCTTTAAGCCAATGAAGAAATTAATTTTATACCAAATGGATGAAAAACCAGTAGACAGTGTTAAACAGATGAAATCTAAATCGTCACCTGACTAATATAGAGGAGCTTCACAAGGAGTCAAGTGTGACCCATAACATGCTATATTGTTCCGCCTCAGAAAAGGAATTCTCCAATATGCGACATGGTGGATCTTAGGGATTTTTGACTAAAGCCAAATAAAGAAGGCCAAACACTTCATGATTCCAGTTCTATGAAGTATTGAAAATAGTCACTCTCAACACAAGCAGGAAGAACAATGGTATTTCCTAGAAGATAGGGAGAGGGCAGAACAGAGAGCTGCTGTCAGTTATGCAAAGGTGAGTGAATTCTAGATACCTGCCATACAACTTTTTGACAATGGGTAACAATTCTGTGCTGGACAATTAAAGTGTACCTAGAGGAGTGGGCTAGAGAGATGGTAGAGGCAGTTCCAGGGAACCTGACAACATTCTTCTGACCTCTGTGGGCATTGCATAACATGGGCACACTTACATACATGCAAGAAATACATTCATACTTGTACAATAAAAAAAATAAAATATTTTTTTAAATAGAAAAGATATGTTTCACATGAAAAGGTTCTCCAAAATCCTCTTTTTTTTTTTTTTTGGTCTTTTTAACACAAGGTCTCCCTGTAGCCCCAGCTGGACTGGAACTCACTATGTAGACCAGGCTGGCCTTGAACGCAGAGATCTGCCTGCTTCTGCCTCCTGAGTGCTAGGATTAAAGGCATGTGCCACCATACCTTGTTCATAATTTCTTAAATTGGTCATAAGAAAGAGGAATTAGTAGGAGATCACACAAAAAGAAACACTTTCTTGTTATTTCATTTTTATTTTATGTGTATGAGTGGTATGCCTGCATTTGTACCCATGCGCCCATGTCCTGCAATGCCCACAGAGGTCAGAAGAGGGTGTTGGATCCCCTGGAACTGGGGTTATAGATTATTGTTAGCTGCCATGTGGGGCTGGTAATTGAACCTGGGTCCTCTGAAAGAGCAGCCAGTGCTCTTA